TAGGTGCTGTTTTTAGTCAAACATGATTGTTATTGGCCTGGGAAAATGTGAATGGATGGTACTGCATTAATCTGAGGCTTCAAATACCCTATGTAGAAAGACGAGTGAGCACAGCACTCTGATATTTTTTTTCTGAACTGACTTTTTTGTGGCCCTTAGGATCAGCTTTGGGAAGGAGCAAGCCTGACTTTTACTCCTGACAAACCCATGCAAGGTCATGGAAGATCTGCTGTTTCCCTGCATAGGCAGCACATAAATCACACAGCTGTGGCACAGAAATCAATCTGTTAAGATAACTATTGCTAATTATTCATCCTCTGGGAACAGGATGGCTTAAGATTTGGAACTACGGAATACAGAGTAACAGAATACAGAGCTTTTCACCTCCTACATTACCAGACTTATTGAATCAGAGCAGTGCCCAAAAGTCATTACCATCTGATGGCTGTGGGCCGGTGTGAAATGAGTTGTTGGGCTTTATCCAGATTCTAGTGGAGAAATTCCTGTCCAAATCACATACTATGGCTACAGTTGGCAGGGGCTGGAGTACTTATTGGCAGCCACAGCAGAGAGCTTGAGGACTGAATGTACACTAAGAGATGGGCTCGCTAGATCAAATTTTTTTGCACCTACATGAGTCAATGCAAATAGCTTAAATAGGTGATTTTCCTTCTGTGTGCGAAGTACCACTGTCTACAGACCTGTCAAACCAATATTAAACAGCATTATTTAAAACCAAGATATAATCCATCCTGATGGTTACTTCACTGTGACTGTGGAGTGGGGATCTTCTCTATCATTTGATGATGACTTCTCTATCATTTAAAAAAATGATAGCAAAACAAACTGAAAAACCATGAAAGAGTTTGCCACATGAGAAAGTATTTAGATGCAAAAGCTTAGTGCTCATGAGATTACCATGAAGTCTAGGAGGGATGGGAAGCAAAATGGAAGAATATATCTAAGAAAGATTATTTGTTGGCATGGAGGTTAGTAGGGGTTTAGACTAGACATTAGTCATTCTCATGGTCATCCAGGATAATGCTTTCATTTTACAGCACTTTATTTTCCATGTTTTCCTTCTCCTAGCTTCAGGACCTTTGTAGATGTGCCTTTCTGTAAAGGAGCTCAAGTGAAGCAAAGCTTGGAGAGAGACACACTAACATGTTTGGAAAAAAGCAACAGTAGCATGCTGCTTCTGAGCACACGATCCTTATTCTCAGGTAGAGATTCATAACAGAGGCCATCACATCACAATTTTGAGTGGTCCCAGTCCTACAGAGTAAAATATTTCTGAGGAGCAGTACTCCGAAGAGACGTAAAAGCCCTGGTGGCCACCTGCCTGTCCTTGTGGTAGAAGATGCTTTGTACATGCTGGTGAATTTTAGTGGAAAAAGAGGGATAAGCTGAGAAAATCAACTAAATTTGATGAAGGTATACCAGTCTAATGGTGATCTTCAGGCTCTCAACTGTTTTGATTAATTCCCTGATGCAGTCAGCAAGTTACTCAGCAGACTACAATAACCTCATCTCCGATACCACTGTTTTTCTGCAGTTGTCCCAAGCTGTGCTCAGTTCACCAGGGATGGGAAGCTGGCCGTAAGCAGACTGCAACAGAATAGCCTACAGCAGAGAAGCAGCCAAATTTAAATACCCTGAAATCCCTTGCTTTCAGGGTACTTGGACATAGCTCCTTAGGATAGCTTTCAAAACCCAAAGGGCTTCTAATCCCTAGGCAGAGCCAGGGCTCCGTGACCAACAGGTGCTTGTTACAGCACAGCAGCAAATGCAAGAGGAGTAGGCTGTTCACCATCCCAAACTGCGCATTTCACACCTGAAATCAGGAGGAACTAGTTGCCAAACTGGAAAGCGCTTGTGGGTTTCTTCCTACACGTTACATTTTGGGGAAGGGGTTGCTGAAAATCTTTCTGCTCCGAGGTCAAGCAGGTGTAGAAGTCAAAAGACCTTGTTGAAACTCAACTCTGAGTGGGAGAAGAAGAGTTCTTACACGTTCCACAGTCATCTGCTGGGTGAGACATCTGAATTTCAGAGGCAAAAGATCTGCCCGTCTTCTTAGTTAGCAGCCAGGAATTTAAGGCATGAAAGGAACAAGGGAATGGAGTGAGAAGGGGTTTTCTTTTTAGAAAATAGGAAAGGGCCTGATTGAAAGTATCTTATTCCTACCTCTTTTACTTTTATTTGATTTAGTGTATTCACCACTAAACTGCAATGATTTTACACTAATGTTGACCCTGGGCATTAGCTGAAAGCAAAATCCTAGGTTACATCCCTACTTCAAACTCTTGGAAAGTGTAAATTTGAATGCCAGCCTGTTGGTCCTAAGTTTACTAAAAACCAAACTACATCTCTAAATAGCCACCTCTGATGCTTTGATGGTACTTCAGATTTCTGATTCTAATTCAGCAGCTCCCACCTGTCTTATTTTAACTAAGGCTACAACCAGGTCTAGGGATGTAAGCTGTTGTTGTTTATGGCAAGTGCTGCAGAAGCTGTTCATGATCACATCCCTGATGAGTGATGGGCACAGATTGCATTGGAGTATGGCTGCCTTATACATTGGTTGAAAAAAGGCACGACCTACAATTGTATGTATTGTGAGGAAGGTATTTAGTTGTCTAAATTTAACATCTTCGGGCATTTTCAAATGTGTAATTAAACCTTTGCTTTTCTTTGTGCTAGGTGTAAAATGCTTTTGGTTTTGCAGTTTGCTGAACTGTAGATAGCTTGTAGAAAGAGCCATGGAAATGATACACAGAGCAAACTATTTCACTCAGTTGCCTCATGAGCTTGAAGTCTGAAAATCCTTGACAGGAATATTAATAGTTGAATATTCCCCATTCAATGGTAACAAAGTAATACAGACAAAAATTGGAATTTACTTAATCTCTAATCCTGTGACCAGGGAGCAAACATCTGTTGGTACTAATTTGTTGTACATAGGCTGCATTTTAAAGTATCATAATTATATTATGAGAAACAAACAACAGTGCATTTTTTTTTTCTTAATTTAAGCACCTACTGCATCTTAAGGTACAGCTATGAGTACACGGATATACAATGCATCTTGAGTGAACTAATCCATTTAGTTCTAATTTTACCAAATGTTAGTAAAAACAGTATGGGACTTCGACATCCAGTTGTGTCATGAATCCATTAATATCTTGATGCTGGGCACACGGGTTAAAAGCCCATAGTTTCTATATGTTTTGTAACTATTTTTCTGGTTTGACCTCAAGAAGAGGTGAGCTAATCAAAAATCCAGTTGGTTTCAGTGGAATGCATAGATACTAAGCAAAGATCAAGCCGTATGAGTTTTGTATTTCATAGGTGTTATAGTCTGATATGATGAATGATTGTCTTTCATGTGTATCACCTTAATATTATTAATATACCTCTTATGCAAGGAATATGCAAGGAGTGGAAGGGCTGTAATGTTCAAAAAGCTAACACTTCTCTAAACGAGCTGTTCTTATGTGCAAAGCCCCACTTTTCCCAGAGCTAACAAGTTTAAGCTTTTTCCTAGTTTGCTCGGGACAAGCTTGCATGTCTCTTGTTACACTGAAGAAGACTGAAGCCTGCCTGCCCCTGGTTGCCAGTGCCTGTCCATTTGCAGGGCTTTCCTACCAGAGCTGGCCCAGGAGAGGAGGGCTGTGCAGCTGGGAGGCATGACATGCACAGTTGTGCTCAGGGCACTGGCTGGCCCCATGCACCCAGGAGCACAGGCTGGACTTGGGTTAGTCCTCCTCAGGGCGTGGGCTGGTTGAACAGCCCTGCTCTTCCTCCAGCCTTTCACTGCTTCAGGACCTTTCAGCCTGTTCTTGCCTCGGGTGTTGCTTGCCATCCAAGTCCTGAAGTGTAGCTACTTGTTCCCATCACCTCTGCCTGTTTGCCCGCTCTATCTCTCCGTCGGGAGCTGAAAAGGATACAGTTTTCTGTCAGCTCCACAACATACCAGTCCTGATGATGGAGGTTTGGGGAAGATCTTAATTAGAGTCAAAGCAAGCAGTTCAGGAGCCAATCAAAATAATAATAATAATGCCAATTGTTTCTAAAATCTTAACAGTAAATCAAGCCTGCTCTTCGACTACTCTGTTGGAGACAGCTGTTCGTAAATGACTCTTGAGTAAGATTTCTTACAGGGAAGCAAAAGGAAAGTGAGAAACTGCCAGTTGAAGCTTTTCATGCTGATCTCATTTTTGTCTTTGAGGCTTAAAATATTCACAAGCACTGAAAGCTGATATTTATGAGTAGAGCGGGGGCAGGAGGGTCACTTAAATAGCTCCTAGCCCATCACCAACATCTCTAGCTGTACTCCACCAGCTCCATGGAGATTCAGTACTCTGATATTTTTAGAAGCAATCACCTCCATATATTTCAGCTTTGTTCATTCTGAAACACATTCTTGCCTTTTACTTTGTTTATAGATTTTTTTTTTTAATAGAAATGAACTATTTTTCCTTGTTTTCCAAGTAGTGCTTATGCAATTCAGTGACAAAAAGTGCTGTTGAACTTGAAAGAACATCACTTTCTGTTAAATCCTGGTTAAATTGTATGCACATGTTCTGCTCTGCCTGGAGTACCATAAATCCCACTCATTTTTATGGGGTTCAGTGGACGTAGACATGAGCCAAGTATAGAGACAAAGAAAGCGCAAAGGTGTAACCAAGGATTTGACCTGCGTAATGCAATAGGAGAAAAGCTGTACTCTGCAATCTGAAAAGCACAACATATCTCTTTGGCCGTAGCAGAACTTGAACATCAGCACCTTTGATCTAATGCCACTGAGGCCCAATAAGCCTCAAATACGGTGACCATTTCAGAGGCTTTTACAGAAAACTGCTCTGTAGTGAACACCCTGCTTACATACCTTTCTCAAATTTTGATGGGTAGAAATACTTTAAAGCCTTCATTCCAAGTTTTGTGATCCAGCCTAGAACTGTTTCTTTTTTCCCCCCCCCCTTACATTTATAGCCAATTTTCTAGACAACATGCCCTTGCGAAGTTCTGGCAAGTTGAGCATGGAGACCAGAAAAGAAGATGGCGAGAGCACGGTGCCTGCCCCTCCGCAGAAGAAGCTGTCCTGTCAGTGTCACCACCACTGTCCTGAGGACTCAGTCAACAGCACCTGCAGGTTTGTGGGAGATACATATTTGGTGGTGAAACATGGGAAAACCTGTTTGTGGCAGCTCAGCAGTCCCAAGTTGGGTGTTGCAGTTTTTGTTTAAGCAGTAATATGTAAATGAGTTGTTTATACATTGTATCTAAAAATCAGAGGTAATTTTCACCTAGATATCAGCTACATATTTATATTTTTATGTTGGGGTATTTACATCTTTACAGTTTTAGATAATACTTGTATTGATTCATTGCATATGAAATATTCTGAAGGTAGCAGTTCATTTTTAAAGGTGCATGCAGTTAAGAAGAGGAGACTTAACGGCAATATATTGAAACGTCAGTAAATGCTTATAAATTTAAAATCGCTCTCTATGGAACACCATTTATAAGAACCCTGCTCCTGGTGTCTGTCTTTGCAATAGCCGAGCTATCTTTTGTAGGTCCTCAAGGCTTTGGGTTTTTTCTTGCTTCCATGCTAAAAGGAAAGTGATCTTTTTCTTGAGGTGAAGTGTTGAGTATTTTCTTATACTACCTATAGTCTTCTGTTTGGTTTTGTGTTTAGAGTACAAACTTCTCATTTGGGTTGGATTCTGCTTCCTCGGATCCTTCTGCCTCCCTGGGGGAGAGGCATGTCCAGCGGCGCACAGTCCCCTTGAAGGCGCAGCCTTGGTCTGCGTTGCACTGACACTGCCTGAAGCAGCAGAGGTGACTGGGGTTACCTGTGGTGGCACCAAGCTGCTGTTCCCCCACCCAAAAGCAGCTCTTGCTGGGCACATACTATTGCTGTTGAATGAGGGTAGTGGTCACACACCTCTGGTTTGGCTTGAGGTGCATATACAGTTTGCTTTAGCTGCAGCAAAGCAGGGCTGAGCTCTTCATGATCCACATGAGGAATTTAAACTTTTCTGCTTACTTAGAGCAGGTGAGGTACTGGAGATACTCACCATCAGCTGTAGCCTAGTGGAGTTGTGGGAATGTGAGAAGCATGGAAGCAGGGCACAGATGTGAGCCCAGCTGGACATGCCGGTTGGGTATGCGGTGCTGTTTGAGGTGAGACAGTCTAATGTTGTGTCAGCTCTTCAAGGCATCTATCTAAAGACAGATGGGGAAAGTCTAAGGTTGCTGAAGAAATTGATTGCTTTGTTGGATTTTTGAGTGTTGTTTTGTAGCCTGACTTAATTCTGCTCAGCCTGCAGTTTCACACTGAAGCATATCAAAGTTTTGATGACAGCTGTAAATACCATTTCCCCTTTCTGTCCTCTTCCTTCAAACCCACACTCTAGCCAGGAGTTAGACCTAACTGCTCTCACATGGCAATCAGTTTAAAAAGCTGTAAAAACCCACTCCGATGTCAATTTGCAGACCCCTTGCAGCGTCAATCAGCTGTTTCCTGTTCCTGCCCAGCAAGAGCCACTGCTTTCACACGTGCTGTCTCACACACGCAGTAACAGGGAAGTTGCAGATGACTTTTAAATCCATGAATTAGGAAGCACAAAGGGATCCGTGTTAAGGAACCCATTGAACAAGGTTTATACCCCAGCTGGGTAGGCCTGCTGTGGCACATTGCTTCATAGGCATCATTGACATTAAGTATTTTTCATGTTACAAGGAATTATGAGTAAATGTCCTATTAAAATGGATTTGTGCATTTCCCCTCACTGTGATACTTTAAAGAAACTCTCTCAGAGTCTCCCTTACAGTGTCAAATATCAAACTTGTTTTTAAGGTGTTAATGCCCAAGGAGAGGCAGCTAAGTGGTAATAAAACACAAAATTATAACCCCTTTTGTCTTCATAATCTTTGCACATTTCAGGCTTGAATGTTCTACTTGAGTGACAAAATTATTTTTTTCAGTTTAGACATCAAAATAATGGAATTTACCTGTCAAATATTAATCACTTTTTTGTCCACGAAAATGGAAACAGTTAAAAGACTTGTATTAGAGCTACTCCTCTTTCCTATCCTGCGCTGTCACCTGAGCAGTATCCACCTTGCCACTTGCCCAGTGAGCAACAGCATAAGTGAAAAACTGCTGAAGAGTTTGGAGTAATATAAAACAAAAAAATTAAAATTAATTTAAATTAAATACCCTGCCTTCATGGCTTGTGAGCAATAATCCTTTTCGGACTGGTGACCATCGCTACGGCTCCCCCTGCCGTGGTGAGAGCCGCAGTGAGGTACGAAGGACACAACACCCCTTGTTTTTCCTACATCTGCTCAACTGTTAGTCTGTAATCATTTGCTGCTTAAATTCCCTACTACGTAGCTGGAATTATGGATGAAAAGTGAAACGGGACATTATAGAGAGCAGAGAGTCCTAAGTCTACTCTTTGGAAAGAGTAGTTACTAGGTCTCCAGTTAGCTGGCTGGGCTGAGACCAGGTTTCAAGAGAGTTGACCAAGACCAACCAGGTTCGCAGGGATTATTCATTTCCCCTGTGTTTTGGGATCATCCTACTAGTCAGGCAGTAACTTTCGTATTTCATCCTAGCCCGAACAAGTGTTGGCACAGTTTTAAAGCACTCAGGAATTTCATTGAATCTCACTATAAAGGAAGTTTCCCCATATTGAAGTTCAAGCAGTATCGATCACACTGTGTTTGTCTGAAGAATGAATGAACTGCTCCAGATTAAAAGTTATTGCATTAATTATCTGCTTCCCTCAGATGTAGCCACTAAAAGCCTTTTCCATTTTATATTTTAAAAAAATCAAACATCTCGTCAGCTCTATCAGTCTGTTAAGCTTTGGGCTGTTCTTGGACCTGCAGAGCGTGGATCTGCCAGCCCCGCAGGGACGAGCCAGCGCATGCTGGGGCACCCAAGGGCCTGGCAAAGCCATGATACCCAGGAAATTCACTGAGCGCATCCATAGCCAGGGCTTGGGCTCTGGAGAGCATCAGGCACTGTCCCTACCGGGGCTCTCACCAAAGCAGGAAAGCCTTTTGTGTGCCCAGGAGCAAGGAGGGCTCTGAAAGTTCAATGGGAAAGCATTTCCAGCTGTGTTTAAATTAAAACTCTCGGAATAAAATAGCTAGTCCTATTGCAATCACCATTAAAGATTTCTCATAAAAAGCAGTCTGCCATCCCACCTGAAGATTTTGGTCTGCTACCACAGGTATTTATCTATTAAAGTATAGATCCCGCCTGTAGTACCAGTAGTCTGAATGTTTATATAAAAATGTGGACATCTGGTGGCCATTTAAAATCCTCTCTGTAATTGTATTTTTAGAAATTTAAAAGTCAATATTCTTTAACCACATCTGTATCAAATCCTCTAACAGCCTGCTGTGTTCTTATACAGAATTTCCCTTTCTTTATACTTCCGCAGCTTAAGTCCAATAATACGTTAGGGACCTAAGGATAACACTGCAGCTTAAAATGCAGATTGCTTTCTATATCAACGGAAAAGCAGTAGCTCTAGTTAGAATGTGCTTTAAAAAAATGGGGCAATCCACAAGCACAACAAATTTTGGAAGACCCATTACGGGTCATCTCATCGACAGAGGGTTAGTGTCAGGGAGCAGTGGAAGGGGGCCAATCCGGGAGCTGAGGGTGATGCTAGGGCCAGCCAGATCCTCACCCACCAGGACCCCATTTCCCCCAGGCGTACCTGAACACGACAGGCAGAGACGGCTCCCCCGATGGCCCTTCGCATGGCTAGTAGTGATCTGGATCCAGGAGACAGGCACTCCCGTACCATCGCTCAGGGAGGGGTTTGATGCTTAAAGGGAGCCCCTGGGCAGGGGGTGTGTATGGGGGGGGGTGTCCCAGTGGCAATTGAAGCTCATGGCCCTGACATGATATCACTCAGGGCCCTGACAATTAAGATCTTTGCAGAAGGTTCGCAATCCTCTGCTTGTAAAGGGTGTGTTAACCTCCAACATGTTGAAACTTTATTCTTTCTGAACATCTGTGCAATTCACAAAAGGCTTTCAGTAAAGAAGCTCAAAGCTGCTTTGAACACAACCAGGACCTTGTTTTACTGTTCCATTTCAAGCTTTGTGTGTACAAAGTGAATGCACGGGCAGTTGTGTCTAATCATAATTAATTGCATATTTTAAAAAGTAGTGTTAGGTTTAATTGGCTTTGACTGTAATGGGATTGCCATAAAGGCAGAGGCTGATTAGGTGCCTTGTTGTGCTCTATTTTCCATTCACAAATAAATGCTGACAGTTTTAAAGATCGGGCTGATAGAGTTTAATTTCTTACGTGTTGCCTACTGGTCTTGATTGTGTTTCTGCCCAACTGTGTCTTGAGGTAGCTTTGGTTATTTAAAGCAATAAAATAATTAAGTTTCTTTTTCAGTGTTACCAGCGGTGATAATTCACTTGAGTGATGCTATTTTCATTCTCCTGTTCTCCAGATGATAGGATTGAATTTTCTTTGTAATTTGGTATGTAGAAGGAAAAAGACTTCAACGGTGGGCCAAAGCACTGAGTTCAGGCAACTTTTCTTTCAAGCAACTTTAATTTTTAGGGTAAAGTTGAACATTTTCTGATAAAGGAGCTATGGTGAGATCTTACGAGTTAGCCTTTCAAATTTTTTTTATGTTTATTTTTATTTTTTAATGTAATCCTTTATACAGGGCTGTACCTGAGTCAGTTAAGGCCCCTTTGATGATTAAAACAAAAAACCAAAGGTCAACAGAGAAAAATTCTTGCAAGCTCCAGTCTTTCCTTGCCCCCTCTGCCAGGGCCGTATGTCTCATACGTGGCTCAGCAGGTGACTTCGCTCCAAGTGTTTAAACTGAAACGCCCCTCCCACGTTTTTCAACTGTGCCCCAGAAATTCCTTGTTCTTAGTTTTGTTCAGAGCTTGTCCATTAGGTATTTAATATAAACCTTAAACTAAATAGTAATGCAAGTCCTGTCTCCCTGTATTGAGACCTGTTGCATTACTCTCAGATAGTTTTTTAGCGTGTGGGAGTACTTTGGTGTTACTGTGCAGAAAGTGCTGGAATACCTAAGCCTTCCCTTGCATATTGAATTTACTTTTAACAAAAAAAATTTCCAAAACAGCAAATATCCATGTTAAGTCTGTCCTAGCATTAAAGAAGAAGCTACATCATACAACTTCAACTCCAGTGTAATCTTAAGGTCACGTAAAAGAAAACATTTGGTCTGTGTTTAAATTTTGGAGACAAAAGAAAGGAATAAAAGAGAAAGGGAAAAGGAAGAGAGGAAGATGAGTAGCTTTATTTTGATTATTTGCTTCTTGATAGTTCTGACATCTACTGAGATGGATTTTGCACATAAGTGAAAGATGCTAGAGAGCCTTGGTGAAAATGCAGAGGTACCCATGCTTGGTGCTATTGCCATACCCCAAGTTGTGCTATCAGGTCTATAGACCTGTCTAATCTTAGGTACCCAGCATGAAGCCTGGACAGTTTCTGGGGTTCTCCCTCACGGATTGGCATAATGGCTTGTTTTCTGCGTTGTGACCCCACGTGTCAGGGAGAACTGTCAGATCTGACTTGTGATTTAGTAGAACAATGCAGGACACATTTGGTGGACCGGGTCATGTCTCAGTCCTGGGAGAATTGTATGGGCAGGTAGTATAGAGAAAATATTGATTGATAGGCCTATATATGATACATGAAAAGATACTCTGCTAGGATGCATTGGGTACCCCCCTTTCTTTCTGTGTCTAGGGTCATCATTGAGCACCCAGAGAGCCAAAAGGTGCCGTACACAGCAGAGCGTGCCTGGTAGGACCAGTATCACCATCTTGGAGACTAGTGTGGCCAGAAACTGTGGCCCGCTGTGAGCCAACTTCTTTGCTTTGTTACACCTGTATGTCTCTCCTTGCCTTCAGAGTAGCTGTGCAAACATCTGAAGGTGCATCTGGCTCAACAACTGTGTAATGCTCTTCTCACTTGGTTTCATGTTCCTTCCCTGATGCACAGCCACTAACTATATTATTTTTTCTGAAAAATTAGCATGTGTTGAACACATTTACAGTGACTCTTTTGTTTTATGGATGGTGTCCAAAGACAGTGTTTTGCTAAATTTGGCCTTCATCATCTTCCTTAAGTGAAGGATGCGACAAAATACGTGAATTAGATGCAAATTGGGAGTCAGCCAATTTTCGAATTAGGTTATTTCAGCCAGTCTTTACAGAAGATTATGATCTTCCCAGTTTCTGTACATAACATTTTTTGATCATTTTTAAAAACAGTGCAGAAACTTGTCATGTTGCTTTGGATGGAAATGAAAAGATGCTGTAGCTCTTTCTGATATCAAAACCAGGAGTATAAAGAGAAGGAGTGGACAAAAATAATAGTACTCGTATGGACTCAATTGCAAATAAAATTAAAGATAAGGAATCTTTTCATCAAGCTATTTAACCCATCTGTTTGTGATAGGCACTGAACGAGGGGAAGACGTTGCTTTTCCAAGCTATATATTGCCATCCCTGGCTGCATCACACACACAGAGAGCAGGACAGGAAACCTTCAGCAGTCAAGTTTTGGTAGCTGAGGTATTGCATCTTCTATGAGAAATGGCTCTTGGCCAGCAAGGACATCTGTGTGAGCAGCTGCAAAGCTGTTGGCCTCTGTTCCTCTCTTCTGACATTTAGTAAAGGTCTCAGTTAAGATCACCTCTTTCTTTCTGGTAATCTGTAATTGTAGCAGCACCTTCTACATCAGTGTCTGTCAGTGTTTCCACTATTAACTCCCTCTGTTTTCCTGGCATTTGACTTGGCTGTAAAAATTCACTCTTGGCAAATACGTGACATACCAAATCTGTGCTTATTAGTGATCACATCCAAAATGTATTTAATCGCTCTCCTGCACCATACTCTAATAAGATGATGCTTTAGTGGAGGAGGTCCGTGGATGTGTACCTGGATGTATTCAGTAACATCAGGTTGAGTTCCTTCTTTACACACCCTTCGCAGAATCAAATTACCCAGAATTCAAATTACAGAGTTTAAGAAAATAATAATTCTATACTACAAATTTTTGCTAGGTAATGGAGAATAGGTTTTTCGTATTGCTTTGCATGTATCAGCGATGTACAATGTTTCTATTTGTGCAGTCACCAAAATAAACATAGAATTGGAGACGATGCAGCCTTACCTGACTTGTTTTTCTGACTTGTTATAATACTAAGAACAGTTTCATTTCTACCACAGGCAGGTGTGAGGTAGAGTAATCACTAAAACAGCAGGGGTATGCCCTGCCCTTTCCTTGCAGCGCGTGGTCCATCTGACATCCTGTGAACCAGGAGAAGAGCTCGGGGGCGGGAGGGGGGAAGCAGGTAAGAGATACTTCTTTCTTTTCAGAAGAGTCACTTCTACCTCTCGCCCAAACACCTGAGAAATTTTCAGTAAGATAATGAGTTCTTACATTGCATGAAAACTTTTTGTTTTATTTATTTCTTAGAGTAGAAACAAGTGGTGCCAATGTTTATTCTGCTCAGCATTGCTATTTTTAATTGTCTCGTACTTCTCCTTCATTACTCTACCGCTGTCTGTAAAGAACATGATTTATCCTTATTGTTGGAGCTTTATAACTTTTCCGTTTTGCTCTATCCAATCTAGTTTTGTTTGTCTTTTTAAATTTGGAGTAAAATTTTTGGAGGGACTAAAGTCTTGAGGAGCCTGAATTTAATTTTCAGAAATGAGCTAAGAATCAGAGTCCCATGGCAGGTCAGAAAAAAAAGAAATAAAACTGCTGACTTTCCTGCTTCTTTTTTCCCTTTTGCAAACAATTTGACTTTTCCTTCCCCTGCTTTCCTTTGGTGAACTGAGCGTTTTGTTTTTGCTGGGGACTGCTAGCTGTGGAGTTGATTTTTGTGTTTCACTTGATTGCTATTTATTGGTTTGTTGCTCTGTCCCCTGGGTTAAACTTACTCATTACTTTGAATCAAAGGCACCATGCAAACAAATAAAATTTAATCTAATATAATATTCTACTCTAATGGATTCCTTACAGTCTCTCTTCTTGGCAATCCTATTGTTCCTATCTTTTAAGCTTAAGCAATGAAATCAAGGTGGTTGTTGCCCAGAAGGGTTGCTGTCTCCTTTGCCTTGTTCGTATGCACAATGTCAAAGAAGGGTAGGAATCATTGCTTGCTTCTCCGAGAAAGTCATTTGCAATGGGCAACTGGTTACTTTTCAAATCCAGAAGTCAATAACCCGTGATAGATTATTATTTGAAGTAATAAGCTGACTGTGGCTAGACCCTGCACCACTAATATAAAAATATGCCACAGCAAATGTTTGACATGATCCTATCCAGCATCTCTCTGTCGTGAGGCTAATACTTACAAATTGTGTTTATCTCTTCCATGTGTAACTGTGCCTCTCGTTTCCTACATCTTCATTGCCTTTGCTGTTGTTGCTCTTGTTAGACTCTCCTTTCATTCAAGTAAGGAGCAAATCATCTGAAATTTTGCTGTGTTTAAATTTTCTAATCCTTTTTTCTTTTTATTTCCTTGTTTTAACTGAGTTTGTTTCTTCTTTTCTGAAAAATACTCATTGCACATAATAACCAGTGTTATTTTCCTGGGGAAATAACAGAATATTTTATTTTTATGTGACTTAAATGTCTTATATTAAAGAGTTTTTTCTTTATTTTTGGATCCTCTTCCTGCAAATCAGTCAATTTGTATTTCTTACAGACATTACGTATCTCCCTCAGAGTGCTGAGAAATTAATGTACAGCAGTCTCAGTAAAATGCAGCCACCGTTTTTGTGCCCTCCTCCCCCTCTTTCCATAGCATTCAGGCATTTGACCTTCATCGAGGAAGGACATTTATCACCAGCACCATCTAGCCATCTGTTATTATACTTGTCCTCCCTGGTGCACGTTCTTGTAAACGGAAGGGTTATGGATCACTTTAGGCTTATAACCCAAGTAAACAGTTATGAAGCGTGTTGATGATAACTCAAGGACTCATACACAAGAGTGTTGCCGTTTGTAATATGGTTAAAACAGGAATCACAAATCACTCTTAATAATATTTTACATTTAGTATCTCAAAAACGTTTCTTTCTTCAGGTCTCCACCGTGGTGCAAATGTCCATGCCTTGTTCCCACGCACAAGCGTCGATGCTTGCATTTATATAGGTCTCCAAAGTCTTAACACACTAGTGACCATAGCCAGAGAATTGAGGTGTTTGTTAGTGGGGTTTATAGCTGTGAAATGTTGGAAAGGTAAGTGTGTCAACTCCAAGGCAGAGCCTCCTTCGTGTGTGCACGAGCTGGTCCGCAGCGCTGTCGGCTGTTGGACTGCATTGCCAGAGGTTGCCTGGGTGCCTGAGTCTTCCAGCCTGCCTCACGTCGATTTGTTGATGGCAGATTTGCCTTGCAAGAAACAAAGTTTAAGACTGTATTCAGCAGCACATTTTTCACTTCAGAGTCTTTTCCTGATTCATTCTTTCCAATCCTCAGCACTGATGGCTACTGCTTCACCATAATAGAAGAAGATGAGTCCGGTGGACATCTAGTCACCAAGGGATGTCTTGGATTAGAGGGCTCGGACTTCCAGTGTCGGGTAAGAAAGCATTTGCTGCCAGAGTGTCGCCTGGCTTTTTGATAGCTTTCAATTGAAGTGCAGACATTACTATGTCCATGTTTTTCACTTCTGTTCATTTGGCAGATAGTTGCACCGCATTGATTGCTGAGGGGAGTGCATTTATAGCCCCGAATGGTGATACTATAGCTGCTCCTAACAATAACTTTTTTCGTTTTGGCACTGCTGTTGCTAGTAACGCTCCGGCTCAGAGGAAGTTTGAATTTAGAGAAATGCAGTCTAATTCCTGAAGTCTCTATGGTAGCTAAAGTTAGTTAGGATGTTATTTGATGAACCGCAGCGACCTTTATGTCTTACATGGAGTTGCACTTTGGTTTTGGATTTCTGGTGCCAGAAATTCCCTTCAAGTACAGTGATCGATCACCTGATAGAAAGCAAATCTCACTGCAGGAATGGAAGAGGTATGGACAATGGAGCAAGGTGGCTCTGCAGTGTTTGCCTTTCCTTACGTTAACCTGAAATGGTTTTACATGAGTACAGGAACAGTCTGGCCATCAAGGTCCATGGACCTTACCCAGCTTCCCATGAGAGCAGAAGCAGCAGCTAAATTAGTCCACACAGCAATTCCTGTATTATTCTGGCTAAACTGTGCAGCACTAGGGCACCAATAGAAATTATTAGGGGTGAATTCATCTCTTAATTATCTAGATGAAATGTTGCTGGATACGATCAGTGGCAGAAATCCTTGCTCCACACATCCTGGAAATCTGGAACAGACTGCAGTCCAGCTAACAAGCACATTTTTCAAGTGCCAGAATGACGGTGTATATTTACGACACAGATCATTACTTTGCTTTCTATCAAATTGTTTGTTGCAGGACACTCCTATTCCACACCAAAGAAGATCTATTGAATGTTGCACAGGCCAAGACTACTGTAACAAACACCTTCACCCTACTCTGCCACCACTGAAAAACCGAGGTAAGGGGAAGTAAATCCAGTCCCAAACTGATCTTTTCCTGCTGTTGCTCTTTGTGCCTCAGGAAGAAACAAAGCCAAAACCAAAGCACCCCCCTCCAACTGCATGTAATTAGAGAGATAAACTGCATTAAAGAGTATCGCTGAATTCCTGTAGGTCATGTGGGGAGCAGCAGTGCCTTGACCCGTGGTTGCTCATACTTGCTATTATTCCTATTGCATACACGCAGTGAGCACCAGGTGCATTAGAGTCACACGATATTGTCCTAGCACAGACCTGCTGGCTATCAGTGATCATCCCAAAGACTTAGGTTAGTCGTAGCAGAGGATGCCTCTTGCTGGGTATATTTTTAGCCCGATAATAAAATTGAATCCTCTTTCTAGTCCCTGCAACATGCATTACTGTTGTTCGTAACTCCGCACACATCTGGGACCAGGTCTCCAGTGGTTAATCAGTCAGTTCAAGTTGACTGAAGTCTATTAAGCTCTTCTTATTTAAAAGATCTGATAATCCAGTACTAGGACGATAACTAGTCACTAAAGCGGATTTTCTACTTGAAAAATGTAGCTGAAAATAGAATGTAGAGTAAGAACTCATGCACTGATTTTTTTCTTTTTTTTATTTGCTATTTGAGAACAAATGGACATGTATTAACTTAGTAGATTCTGGGGCAAGGTTTTAGCTTTTTTGTTTGTTTGTTTAAACATCGCTTTCTGAAAGTTGGTAAAACTATTTTGGCTGCATGTTGCAGAATACATTTTACAGAAATGTATTCCTAAGTAAGTGTAAATTCATCCATGATAAACTCTTGGCATTGGCAGCAATGGCCAAGATTTGTGGTGGTCAGCGTGGAGTTTAGTCTGTGAGAATCAGTTCAAGGTTGCAGGAGAATTTGTAATCGTGGTGTTCTGAGTTGAAAATCCCAGTGTGCAAATGCACTCTTAATTACGCAAACAGCAGATACTTACACAAATGCATACTCAGAGAAAGTCTTCACTCATGTAAGCTGTTCCCTTCACACCTGTGAAATTCTGCACAGATGGGCTGCAGAATCAGGCCTGTGGAGAGTAGTATGTAAATATTTCACTGTTTACTAGCAAGCCATTAAGTCAGCGAAACCTCATAAAATTCTGACTTCCAACATAAAAGTTATGTTGTTTTTTTCATTTTAAAAAGTTCTTTGGACTGAAAGAGAAGCTTCAAAAGGAAGTCAATATTTGTTCACACTTAGTGTGTAAATAAATATCATTTCAGTTTGGAAAACACTGCCATGATTTCTTCTTGCTGCTGACTGAGTTTATTCTATGTTAAAACTACTTAAAAATACTGAACCAATGCCTAACACTAGACATCTGCCTTATTAAGATTTTAGTTGTTGGGCAATACTATCTGCTGTTTATACAGAACGCAATAAAACAAGCTTTTGGTAGTAGCAGAAGTTGTTTGGATCGATGGTGGTTTTGCTCTGTGTGTATGTGGGGTAAATAAAGCATCACTTGGGCACTGTGGTGGCAGACCCATTAAATAGCAGAGAGAATATTTGTTGAAAGAAAAATTTCATAGAGTTGGAACAGGATTCTAGCTGCTCTGTGTTGCAAAGTTGTCTATTTTAGCCTGACAAACAAAAGGCAATGTATTCACTCAACATATTCTGAAGACTTTTGTTTGTTTGAAATAAGCTCTGGCACTACCAGTATCCTGATAGTATATTGTGGAAACACATTTCAGGAGCTGCTTCATTAAATGTGGCTGGACAGGGCTGAAGTCACCAGCTTTACTAAAGCCTTAAGTAAATATGTCATTCTTGGTGCCAGGCCTGTTTTAATTTGTCGTTGCTGTATCCTAGTATGAAAGCTCAGAGAAAAGCCGTAGTTTGAACTGTAGATCCTCACTGCAACCAGGTACAAATACTGTGTACAAATACACGCTACTGCCAGTGCCTAGTACTATGGCTGTGATCATTGTTTCTACTGGAAACATTTAGATTAGGCTGTGATTGACTGAGTACTGTTAGAATTGTATACCGAATTTAATGTAAACTGTAACTACAAAGAAAGAGAAGATGAACTTAAAAACAAGCTTCTAGGAACAACCTTCTGACCTCTAGGATTCCATGAAAAATATGTATGTTCCTCAGCATTTAAAAAACAAACAGAAATTTGGCTTCTGATGAACTTACGTCCGAGGTTATATCTCATGGGAAAGAGAGTCTAGGGAGAGCGTCCAGCTGCAGGTCAGAGGTTGTTGAACTGCAAATTAACCTATGCACCAAGGTAACATCTACAAAGGCGACTTGTGTTCTCAAAGTGCTTTTCCAGACCTGGCATGTGCTGGAAAGTGGGTTTTACCTCCCCCCCATGAAAAGAAAGGAGGACCACGTACATGAAAGTGGGAGCTAGAAGAATTAACACTGGTCAAAGCAAGGCTTGTTAAGCAAGATGGAAGAAACAACAGCTAAGCCTAAGTTCTGAGCTCATCTCTGTACAGAACTAGCAGGATAAAATACCCCAGAGAAACCATGAAGTCCTCGTCCCAGCTGTACGTCTGTCTTATTAAGGAAATGAGAGTCATAATTGGGTCTGATACAACACCTCTGCTTTAAACAATAAAAGATATTCCTGGAAATCCCAGCAAAAGCACAGGCTGAGACCAGTGGAAAGGAGAAATATATCTTTACTGATTTAGAGCCTATATAAGCAGAAGTGGTGGTGCCACCGTGTCTGGCTCCCTGCCTGTAGAGCTAGTGATGAATGGGCAAGGGAATGATTGGAGGAACGATGGGGTTTGATGTGTGCACAGTCTCCACGCCTCAGATTTCACTGCAGTTTTTACTTGGATAACCGTAACATTGTGAACTGGAGGGACCTGGGGAGGGAGGAGAACCTCCTCTCCCTTTGATATGCTGACTTCTCCCTTGAACCTGCTGGGTGGCATTTTCAGTGCGCTCCTCAGCACGGTCCCGCAGATGGCAGAGTGAGGGGGAACGAGTGGTGGAGGAGGGGGAAGTCACGGGAAAATAACTGAGAGGCAGCTTGGTATCCCCAAAGACCCTCCTTCTGTTGCCATCTCTCCCTTTCTGCGCTGCTCACCACTGACACCAGCACGCACCGCTGTTTTCGTACAACATAAAACTGTTAACATGCCATTTGTTGGGCTTCACTATTATCAGCCAGCCGAGGTATGTGAAGAAGCTTCCCAAACCTACCGCGTGTTTGTTCGGCGCTCCCCTCACCATGCTCCTGGTAATCGCTCACTGCTGCCTCTGTGGAAGCTACTGCTTATTCTCATAACCCCGCTGCTTGGCGTGTTGCAGTTGCCAAGTAACATAACACTAAAAAGCACAGCGCTGGACTTCTTAAAAGACAGAATATCTCCATCACGCAAACTGGCACCAACTGGTACCCACCACAGTCTCCACCACGGAGCCCACGAGCCAGTGATGAAGCGGACTCACAGCTGAGCTGCTCCATCCCTCCACCTGGCCAAGGAGGTGCCGAAAATGGTGCGGGGAAAGGGAGGTTTGTCCTGCTGCTCTGTGGGGAACAGCACGGGCTGCAGGAGGAGAGAAGAGTTGGTCTCCAGCAGGACCAGCCTGGCCCAGGTCAGCAGAACAAACAGATCTTGCGTTGTCCACGCGCCAGTGGGTTTATGAAGTCCTCAAGTGAGCAAGCAAATGAAATTCTGCCAAAATGCTTTGAAAATGCAGGAAGTATTTGAAAGGTGAGACAATAGCTCACTTATCGTCAGTATTGCCTCTCATCATACGTAGCCAAATAAGTATAAAGACATATGGAAGTTATTCTCCTCTCCTGTGAGAGCCAGTTGCATGCCCATGCTGTGCGTAGTGAGCCACTACTAAAGCTATGTTAGCTGACTTCATCAGCACGGGGGACGTCACCTACTGCAAGAGCATAAGCATCACTGCTGCTGCAGTCTGCGTCGGCCGCTCCCAGCACGGAGATCAAGACACGTTCCTTTACGTGTTGCATGCTTTCCTTGCACTTGCTTCACATAATTGCGTTCGGGTACCAAAAAATTTTGCAGTGTTGGAGTCTGAAGTTTGTTTGAGACGTACGCAGCACTTCCAAAATGCCTTCTGGCCTCTGGGAAAATCAAACTGTATTTATTTACTTTTCTGAATGGGAGGAGCCCACTGAAACATTGAGCACAGGCTCTGGATCATTTAAACCCTCCAAAAGATTGGAATTACATTCAAGATTTCAGCATCTTTATCATCCCTCTCCCAAATATACATACTCGGACACAGACAGGCAGCATGAACAGTATGGGTGGTTTACGCCTTCTGGTAGTGCAACACTTTGTGTCTGTGTAAATGCGCAGACTTCCGCGGCTTTAATGTCTAGCATACACAGGTATGAGCAAGATGTGAATTGCTCCCTGTGCGTCTGACATCAACCTTCATTACTGCTAAGCACGAAAGCCCAACTTCCATCGTGGCTTATTCTGTGAAGTGGGAAAACGCTTGCTGTGGACAAGGATATCCAGCTTTCTCCCAAGTATAAAATCCCCCTATATGGTCTGCCTGCTCTGTTTATCCTCTCCTCAGCTGATGGGCTGCGACATCTTAAACCGTGACAAACCACACATTTTAGAGGGAGATGGCTGGCCGACGCAGGCTGCTTACAAAGCATGAACTAGAGCCCTTAGCGCTGCCGAGCCGCCATCGCCTTCGCGAGAGAGGTCTGGATTCCCCGGTGGGCTCTCGGTTTCGGCTCGCAGCCCACTTGGAGTGGCAGGCCAGGTAGAAATCTGCTGTGGCAGGGAGAATGATGGGCTCCAGTGTTTTCCTGATAGACATCGTGTCAGTGTCCCCTTTCAAAGGCATCGGCCGTGTCTTGAATGTTTACATTGCTAATGCTCCCGGAGCAGGTAATGGCAGGCTAAAACATGACCAGTGTGATCAAAAGGTGTGTTAGTAGGTAATCTCTGTTTGTAGTGGAAAGGGGAAGGAAAGAAATAGTTTGGGGCAAAAACAGAAGGAGAAACCCGATCTTTAAAATAAAAGAGCCTGACAGTAAACCAAGAGTCCCTTAGGAATCTTCTTGTCTCATTACCCTTGTAAATCTGAAATGTAATAGCACCGTTCCAGGATGAGTCGATACGGATGGAATTCTTGCATTTTACAATGTGTTCGGCATTAGTGTGAAAGATGCAAGACAGCAAGGCTGGGAGAGCTTCAGAAAACGTAGTCCTCGTTTGTGTTACACCAGATAGCAACTTTGGGAGGGCGCTGTGTGTGTCTGTGTGCTGAAATCCCATCATTTTGAGTCTTCGGGGCGTGGGGGAGGTTAAAGAAGAATAGTGCTAGGTTTCTTTGTTTTGCAGCAGAGGAGCATGCATGAAGGTCAGACTCACTTGCCTGAGTTAAGAATACAAATTTGGAGATTAATGGTGTACTTTAAAGGAGAATGTGAGTCGCCCATGCAAAGGCTGACTGAAACATTTTAATAGTTTTTACATAACGGCATTTTCTACAAGTTATTTGACACATTTCATTTTCAAAGTGTTCTACAGAATAGCTGCTGGAAGGATAGTTTTGCCACCAGCAAGGAAGGACTTGCTGGCACACAGGGCTGCTGTAGAGCAAATGGAGGAGAAAATTCCTGCTCAGGTGTTTAAAACAGGACCTGAGAGACAGATTATTCTACAGTGGTGGAAATATACTCTCAAGGCCTCTCGTCGCCTGCCTTCCTGGGGATTGGATGGTCTGCTGTGTCTTCCCTCCTAGGATAAATGCAATTATTCATTTTTTTTATATTAACTGGTCGATAGGGTGCTACTTAATAAGAGTGACTTAAGATAGAGGCAGTAATTTTTGCATGTACTGGCTGATCACTTAGGTTAAGACACAGAGCTACGGGTTTTAATTGATTTTTCATTCAGAGCCAAACAGGGAATTGCAAATCAAGGCGATGTTTTGCCTGAGTGAGGGCTGAAAAATCAAATAGGCTTTTGGAGGTGCTGGTTCTGCCCTCGTCAGTGAGGGTCAAAGAGGAAGCACACAAAATGCCTGGGGAATCCAGGGGTATCTTGCACAGGACTTCAGTAGAAAAGAAAGGAAACGATCTTGTGCTTGCTGCACTTTTCAAGGCATGTGTGTCTTTTAATACTGACTTTGTACCACCTCCTTTTCCAAATTTTCCACCTTCCTTGTTTTTAACCCCAGATTTTGCTGAAGGAAACATTCACCATAAGGCTCTGCTGATCTCGGTTACTGTTTGCAGTATACTTCTGGTGCTTATCATCATATTCTGCTACTTCAGGTAAATAAGGAATACTTTACCAGCTTGTTAATGTTCCTCCCAATATTTATCTTTTTATAGACTTAGAAATTTGAAAAATTGAAGTGGACCTTAAGGAAAAGAAATGAGAAACTGTAATTTTATGATGAGGAAAAATATGTATTTTATTCATGCTGGTCACAGGTATACCTGTGTGATGTATTTCATGTAGTATCTTTTGCCCAACATCCCAAAAAGCCATTCAGGTAGAAGCACGGATTATTCTTTACTGAGTCTAAGAAAGCCACAGGACAAATTTTATATAGGGTAAATAAACCTAAGCCTTCTAAATGTGTTTATGTGGTGAAGAACTGATCATAAAAAAGAGAGGGATACAGGTATGTAAGTAAATATGTCTAGAGTGTTAGCATAATCTACATACGTTATGTTGAAATTTGTCACGCTTTTTAAATCGTCCCAGGTCCCATGACCTGACCTCCTCTGGCTCCTAAAAGATCCACTGCAGTCAGTGAAATAAAACTGGGTATTTACTTGGTCTGTGTTTTAAATATATTTAAGTTTCTTCAAGAAAAACATTTGGTTGCTTTGCAAACTTACACCAGATTGCATGGTCTTTGAATTTTATGTTTTGATGCTGAAAACAGTTGCTAAAAATAAAATAGAAAATTTTGGGCAGTGAGTCCAGCATATTCCTCAGGGAAGCCAAGGAAGCTGTGGGTCTATAAATGAAGGAAATGTGAAGGACGATGTGCATTATTCATTGCACATGTGTTCATTGTATTCAAAGCTAATTTCACTTTCATGTAAAACGGCAGATACAAACGCCAAGAGACGAGGCCCCGCTACAGCATCGGGCTGGAGCAGGATGAGACCTACATTCCCCCTGGAGAGTCCCTGAAGGATTTGATCGAGCAGTCCCAGAGCTCAGGGAGCGGCTCCGGGCTCCCTCTCCTGGTAAGGAAGCAATAGTATTTTAATGCAAGTTTAAAAGGCAAAAATGAGTAGTGGGAGAAGACAAAATGAGGCACAAGAAATTATATTTAGGTGTCCTCAGTTGTTGCTTTAGGTTTTTTTTCTGTCCCAGAAATGACAATGTTTTAAGCTGGAGAACAGCTGCTTTGGAAGCAGGAGACTTTTTTTCATGTAGACTAAGCCAAAAAAGCTTAGGTTTTTTTTTTTTACCTCAGCTCATTTCTTTATTTTAGATACCATAGGATAAGTACAGGCTAATAGAGCTCACAGAAATTCATCAGGATTTACCCCAGAGTACAGGACAGCATCTGGCCCGCTGATCTTATTTTCTTGCTTTTTATGTGCAACACACAATAGCATTTCAAACACTGACACATCGTCTTTATGTAAAGGGAACTGTAATTCATCAAACCTGGAACCTTTTTATGTGTAGACTTCACTTTGCATTCAGAAGTCAAGTGCAAATTATTTTTCCTTGTAGTGTGGCATTCTCAAAGGTTAAAGGCACAGGGATGGAGTTTGTGATTATTTCTGAGCTGACTCCAGGATGACTGAGCCACTGAGCTCAGCTGAAAAGGCAGAAGTTTCACCTTCTGTGGCAAACCAGTTCTGTTCACCAGGGGTTTTTGTTTCTGGGGGTCATCGTTGCTTTTTAGCACTGAAAAAAAAGCCAGGTTACTTATTTAAAATACTGCCTCTGAGAAAATGAATTAGATTTCATTTTTCAGAGATGATGTGTCCCTCCTGTCTCCCAAACCTATTAGTTTGTAGTGATCCTATTACTGTAGATGTTGTCCAGTTTCCAAGTAATACATACTATCTATCTGTTTTTTGCCCACGCATCTTTTTTCTACACCCTAAAGAAGAAATAAAATGGGAAGTTTTATAATTCTTTAAAATGAAGCAACGGGCTGAGCTGTTAGTGAAAATCTGACTAAACTCAATTTGTTCTGGCAGGAGTAAGTGCTTAGAGTCCCATTTAAATAAAGTGCTGACTTTTTTAAAAATCCGATTTTCTCACAATTAACATACCTATTGAGAAAAAAAGCCAAGCTGCCAAGTGGGTGTTGTGACTGGTGCTGAGCATGGAAAACCCATGGTCATTTTTCTCTGTTGAGAGAAACTCCATCATTTAGGTCTAGGCTTTAAGAAGGCTCTGTCATATCCCATACCAATGTCCCTCTAGCAGGCATGGAAAGGGTGGGACCATGCTTACAATTTAGGACCATTCCTAATGAGCGCTTCCAATTGATTTAATTGTGAGGGATTCTTGCTTTTTTTGCTTTGTTTTTTTGCATAACGCCTGCCACATCAAAGTTTTGGTCTGTGCTTGGTGCTCCTACCTGTTACAGTGACAGAAGTAATGTAATAATTTAGAGCAAACACAAGGAACTTGGTGGTTGTTCTCTGAGAAGATGTTTCCAGCAGCTCACGTGGGTAGCAGGTGCCCTGGGGCATCTTGTAGCAGTGCATGGCTCGATACTTCAGCCCAGGATGCCCTTGAGACAAAAAACCTGGAGCAACGCTGGTTGTGACCGCTTGCGCTTTATGCCTTCCTCTGTCCCAGTGAGCTGGTTGAAGATGGGATTTACAGTCTTACTGATGTCCCCAGGTCTACTCTTGCGGTGGACAGAAAAACTAACTTCTGCTAATTAACTGCTGTAGTGGCTGAGGTGGCATTCCAACTGGGTCGTTGCTCAGTAGCTCTCAGAGCTGTGCCGGTGCTCCGTGACACAGAAACTATCCTGTCTTCTGCCAGTCCTCCTCTCTCCTCTCTAAAGCCTGGAGACTTTGCAGCCACTGGACCAAGTGTTCTTCCT